ATATATTCTCTGTGCTTGTTTTCTCAGTGTTTTGGAAGTCAAGGCAACTAAACTCATGGTTTTGGAGCACTGGAATTCAGCAGAGCTGAATTTACTTATACAGTGCTATGAGTCTTCCACAAAAGTTTGCAGAACAAAAAAAAAGTTGTTGTATCTCCTTTCTTCCACACCAGAAATAACCAAAGTCTTACAAATGGCTTGCAGGCTGCATTGCTTTGTTAAGGTCTAGCAAAGTAATAAAAACAACAACAATGAAAAAAGCCCAAATAAGTAAAATTCTTGGGATACAGCATAACACATCTTAAAAGGGTGAATGCAAATAAAGCCTGTTTCTTTTAAATGGCCTGACTTAGCTCGCAGTTATGACAGTCAGATTCCTCAAGGAGCATCTTCTCTCCCCCTGCCTGTAACCTGCAGCTGCTGCCCTCACATGAGATGCAAGTGCAGAGCCTTCACTTATGTGATGCAGCTGCTCAGAATGGAAACTGTCAAAAAATCTTTTCTCTCTCTAGAAGTAGTTTGTTTCTGCATCTCACAAACTATTTTTTAATGCTGATTAATTTTGTCTGTAACTCCATGCTTCTACTGTCTGTGATGATTTCTCTAGCAAAGGTACAGCAAGAAAAAGCTGAAAACCTAATGCTGTTGCAGGTAACTTCTTGTTCAGTCTAAAGGATACCTGCCCCTGTGTTTAGTGGGAAATGAAAGACATCATCAGGCACTAGGTATACGGCAAATCCCAGACTTTAGGCAATAACTGGGAAACTGTATTTGTACTGGAAAGTAGAAAACAGCAGTGAAGCACATGAAGGGAAAGGCATAAGAATCTTTCAGGTACAGATCTCGGAACTGTGAATAGAAAAGACAGCCCTATTTTATCCTGCTGTTGAGAGGGGAAAAGAGTTTCTTTTGATATTTTGTCATCTGTTACAATTTCCTCCTTCTGATGGAAATAACTTTTACAACCTTAAATACTGCAATAAGCTTGAAAGTATATTATACATGTGTTAGAAAATATGAACACTTTCTGCAGCTGTAGACTTTTCCTTTCCTCCACATCTGCAAGCTCCAGGTTTTCTTTTCTCTTCTGTTTCTTCCTTGGCTTTGTAGACATGAACTAGGTCTCTACTGCACTTTGCACAACTATCTTGATCAAGCTGTCTATATTGATGCCAAGGTTATTTTTACTAACTGGTTACAGATAGTTCAAGCAGCTCTGTGTCTCTGTGTAAGGTTGCACAGAACACTGAGCTTGGAGACCATGATGCTGTGTTCACTCGCCACTCTTCTCCAGTGCAGTCTAAAACCCTCATCAAATGGCCTGAGTAACACTGCAAGTGTGTAATTCTTTGCCTTTTTGGCACTAAACCAAGGTATTACCTGGGATTAGGGATCCCAGGGGTTATATAATTCAAATAGGTGGGGGTTTTTTTGTTTGTTTTGTTTGGGGGGTTTTGGGGGGGTTTTTTTGTGGATTGGTTTTTGGGGGGTTTTGTTGTTTTATGTTGAGCTTTTTTTGCCAGCTAAAGGAGACAAAGAGTTTCTCCCAAAATTATGTTATTTTATAGTTTCATGTCTCAGTAAACATGCTGTGCGTGAGCGGTGTAAAGTTGTGATGGAGCCAAAGAAATAAATAGCTATGTGAAACAGTGCTGTGGCTTAATACAGTAAGTAAAGTGGTCATCTACAAAAGCTGAGGGGTCAAAAGCTCCATGACCAGTTGTGTCCTCACTAAGGAGAAGCTTCTTAGGATGCAGTTCCATATTGCAGCTAAACATAAAGTGACCAGCTTGCTTCATCTGCACTGGCATTTGTCTCACCTCATAAGGAGCCACTTTGAGGACCTAAACTGTGAGAAAACTAAACCAAGAAGAAAAATGAAGTATTTCATCATTGTAGCTCCTTGAAGTACCTTGTAGGGTTAAAGACTTCCCAGTACCAGTACAAAAGGGGTAGAGACATGTGACAGCAGGGGGAGAGGAGACTGACATTTGGCAGGGGATAGCTGTTGGATTGATTTAGCTGCAGCATCAAATGTAAGAACTGAAAGAAAACATAAAGTAATTTGTATTTTATGATCTTATCTTACCTCTGTCTCAGGTTAGTTAGAAGACTAGAGAGGGATGGTTAGGAACAGGCTATGGATGTTTGTACCTAAATATCCAACTGTAATTCTCCACAACCAAGGAAGGTGTTGGCTATATGTACAAATCACAGTGCATGTACAATTTAACTGAACTGTTCTTTTAGTTAAACAGGTTTGCATGTGAGTATTTCTGGGGATAAATTTTAGTATGGAGTTGTGTCTCTCTTCAAACAAACTTGTATTTTACTGTTAATTATTACTGCACATATTTAATATGACTGCCCAGCAGTGATGATTCCAGCAAAAGCTAGCAAAATATGAAATCTCTTGTTCTGTGGGGACTAAAGGAATTTTTAGATTTTGTTTGGACAGCAAGGAAGTATTTTCTGCGTCGGGTAAGGCTTAAGATAAATGGAATTTGGAGTACCTTTGTTATACCGGCAAATGTGAAAGCACTGGTGGAGGGGAAAATTGCTGTACCTCCCTGGCTATTACCCATCCCAACTCCAAGAAAATGTTATTTTCTTCAAGTAACTGACCATAGTTCAGTTAGCCTGACCTGAACCTGCTAAACCTTGCTTTTTGAAATGACAATTCAGCTTCACTGCTATTAGCAACAAAAGGATTTTCAGTGCTACACAGCTACAAATTAGTGTAAATTTTAAACTTCTGTCCATTTTTGATCTAGTTTAGACAATAGCATGTTGAAAAGAGTATGTAGTAACTTGCAGTCTGTCTGCTGCATCACTTTCATCAGTGAAGTTGATGGAAGTACAGGATTCAAACTCATAGGCTGCAGAGCTCCTCATTGATGCTGCATTGAACATTTGCACTTTATCTGCATAAGAGAGATTTCTGAGTGATTTCATAATCTGGGTTTGGTTTAATTTTCCCATTTGTGTATTAGTTTATCACCAAAAAAGGACATGAATATGTCTGTGTGGATATGCTTCTCGCACAGCTTTTCCTTCTTTTGAGACTACGAAGTACTAATAGTAGTTCACTACAGTTTACATCTACCATTAACCATCTGTGTCACACAAAATCTGGTGAGAGTCAGCAGCCCTGGCCATCTTGTAGCTGTTCCGCATGAGGAAACAGGAGTGATGTGACTACTTCTACTGCTGTTAATATGAGTGGCAGATGACAGTACCCAAATTATTATTTCTTTTTTCAGCACTGTATGGCAGTTCATTGTACTGCTGGGGTTGTTAAAGTTGTATCATGGCTGTAGGGCTTTTACCAGCTTACAAGATACCAGCCTACGTTAAAAGATGCCAAGATGGTGTGGCAGCATAACCAAGTCAACAAGTTTGATAGTTATAGGCTAATCTACTCAAGAAGCTATTGAAGCTGTAACTGGCTATAAGGCCCCAAAATGAGCTGCCTCCCAGGTATATATTAGTCTTTCAAAATGGTATAAACTAAGTTATTACAAATGTTCATCCATTGGTATTGCAGTTAATTTTGACAGCCTAAAGATATTGGCTACCATGTTTTTTGGTTAGTTTGCTTTTGTTTTGTTGGTTGGTTGGGTTTTTTGCATCTGTATATGAAAGAGGCTAGATAGCAAAATCTCCCAATAAAGACCTTGCTAAAACTCTTCACAGCTCTTACTTATATATTAGCTCTTTCTTTTAGGTTACCACAGAGTGAATACTTGTTTATGTTGATTGGGCTGAAGTCTAGCAGTATTTCCCTCCAAAACTTTCATTGAATCAAAATCTAGTGCAGTTTGGAAGGGACAGCAGAGCATGCCTACACACACCTGTGGCCAGTAGAGGCTTCACCTGTCAAATAGAGGTTTCTTAATTTGAGACATATACAGTATAAATTTCCACAACTGTGGTAACTATCTTCGTTCCCTTCATAATTAGTGGAGAGAAATAGATGAGAGAGAACATCTGGTCTGATTTAGATGTCTTCTTATTGTTCTGTTATCTTCAGTGAATATAAAGGGAGTGCAGATAATTAATTTATATAAAGATATCTGTATATTTATACCAATAAGCATCTACATTTGTCATGTATAGTGACAGCATTTTAAAAAATCTTTTAAAATCTGCTAGTTTTTTCCAAATTGCTCTCTGCAATATAAAATAAAGCAAAAATAACTTGCAGTGATACCACATACATTACAGGACTCTTTAGTTGTCTTTGGCACCTCTTATTTGAAGTTTTTTTTAATTTGGTCTGGACTGCTATGACTGGAAAGCTCTCTAGAGCTGCCAGAGCAAATCCACCTTTTAGGTGGCTCTTGATTGACTTCCAGCTCAATTTATCTCTACTTTTCCCTGTGTTCCTTCAGAATCAGGGTTTGGCAGGCTCTCTGGAGGTACTTGGGTAGCCAGTGGTGATATCCTGATGCCAGCTAGGGTGCGATATCTGTAAACGGTGCTGATGGCTCTTCTTGGGACAGAGCTGTGGGTACTCATGGGCTGTGTCTTCTTTGTTTCCAGCCACGTGCAGTTAACTGCCTTCATCCCTTTGCTGCTTTCTTAGCTCATATCATGCATAGTCTTTTATTCAATTAAGCTGTTCAGCTTAATTCTTACAAGTAAGTCAGTAGAACTGGTAGGAAACACATTATGAATGATGACAGATAAAGTTCTTTTGCAACAGTACCAAGTCCCCAGTGACTTCCTCTGCTCTGTCTTCTGCTTTCTGTTAGTGACGAGCTTCTAGCATCTGCTGATTAAAACATTTCACCATTGATATCCAGTTATAACCCCATATGTTTTGATTGCAGCTTTTGTGGGTATTCTTTACTTAGAAACCAAGAGAACAACCCTCAAATTTCTATAGCAATAACTTTTCTTTATGTTGAATTATTGCTTGTATTTTTCTTTCCTTCTTGCTTGCATTCCCATAGAAGGAGGACATGATCATGATGACATAATCTTTTCTTTTACAGAAAAAATCTGAAATCATTTTTTGCAAGATACAAGACGTTGCAGTGGACAAGTTCGTATGCTTTGCCAGATTTCCCTTACGATGTCAAGTGCATATTGACAGAAAAGAAATGCCCTGATCACAGTATGAGGATAAGGATTATTGAATTTTTACAAGCAGACATGACAAAATACCTAGAAGGATCACTGTAAGTAAACATCTTTAGCCTTATTTAGGGGCATTGTCAACTGGCAGCAGAAGTAAATTTTCAAATTAATGTAAAGCCATTCTCTTTAATATTCTTGCTTAAATAGACGGCCTGAAACCTGTTGAAGACAACAGAAAGACTTCATGCAGACCTTAAAGCTGTTTGCTTTGTTGTTTGGAGGTGAATCAATAGTTTTGGATGCAGTCAGTTTGATGTTTATCAGTATAGTCTTCAGACAGTGTCTAATACTGTCTAGAATACCAAGTATTTCTTTTAAATCTCTATCTTGTTTGCCCAGGTATCCAAACAGTCAGCAGTATAACATTGTTGTCAATGCGCTGCTGCAGGCATACCCGTTCCTTGATGAAGATGGGAACGGCTTTGTAAGTATTGTAATGAGTACTTCATCTCTAAAAACTAGAATGGTGGTTTGTTTTGATTTGGTTTTTTTTTCACATAATCAATCACAAGAAAATAATTTATTTCAGGGGAAATCAATATTGATTTCTTATATACTGGCTCTATTCAGAGCTGTAAGCTTCACTTTTACATGTTTCCAAATCACATTCTTATTCCATTATATTAATTAAAGATTAATCCAGTTATAACCATTCTTCAAAGCCACTGTGAGATCATGCAGACCTGTACATGAAATCCCTGGGTACTTGTTGGGTACAGTTTCTTTCTGGATTGATTTCTCCCAAAGGATACATCTAAGTAAATGTGAAGAAGCCCAGCCTTTAGAAAAATGTCTATACCAGGACTAACTTGACTGATGTTCTTGCAGTGCATTGTGCTCACTTGTGTGTTAGATATCTACCTACAGCATGCAGCAATACTATTAGTTTAGGCAGAATCTAGGGAATCTGGGCCAAATTAAAAAAAATAGTTATTTAACAGCACTGGTTGGGATCTCAGTGAGGACGTAACCGAAAGCAGTGGAAGGAGATGACTTAAATTTGAACTACGTTTTTTTGCTCTTGTGACCCAGAATACGTATCTGTGGTCTCAGAGGACAGCATTCACCTTTTGACTTCACATCGTTGCTTTGCCATCTGATACTTTTATAGCATCTTGTAAAGGCTCATGAGACTCAGTGGGGACTGTTAGCTTTAAACGTATATAAATATATATCTCATGTGCAGCTACTGCAGAAAGCAAAATAATTTTGAGAATAAAGAAGAGTGAGGATTAAGGGGTGGCTATTCTGGTTCTCTCCTCAGCCCAGGCATTGCAGGAGGGAAGAGACTAAAGAAAATAAACACATCTCAGAGAGGAGAGAGTGAAGGATCAGAAAGCAACAGTCCACCTCTATTTTCAATCAGGATTCCTCTCTGAATACCCCAGTGGGGGTCCCCAGCCGGGGTCCTGGGTAATGCTATGGCCTTATCTGGCTTCCTTTGTGGAATAGAGCTGGAATGGCATCCAGATCAGTCCGAAGACCTTTTAAAACCTTTAACTTTTAAAACCTGTTTTTAAACAGAGACTCTTAAGCCAGGTTTTCAAAGAGCTTTAATTGCAGCAGGACCATAGACTGACTGAAACTACTGATAACTCTATTCTTCAGGAAATGGCTCATGGCTTCCCAGATCTATCTCAGAATCGGGGCTGGGACAAGTTACCTGAGAGAGCAGAGGCTTCAGAGTAGTTGTTCTTTATCTTTTGATATTTCTCTCATGCTTTCTAGAAAGCATATGTGGAAGAATCCACCATAAGTACGTGAGGAAGCTGAAGTTAGCAGTTTGCAGTGTTGCTAGTCTAATGCATCTGAGCCAGCCTTTCTCCATTGCTTGAGGCAGGAAAAAATGCACTAAAGGTGTATGGCTGTATACTTAAGTTTAGGGGAGGGGGTAAGGATGAATTACTATTTTTATTGGCCCTCCTGTTAGACATTCTGTTCTTACTTCACAAACACAAAGGCTATAAATACTCATTTTTTTCTTGAGGTAGTTGTGTTTTGCAACAGCTTAAAACAAACCCTGCAACATATGCACAGCCACTCAGCATAAGGCTTGCAGTAAAACTATGAATTTATATACCTTTAAGAAAAAACAAATTAACAAAAAAAATGGCTAACCACAACTCTTTCATCTTTTCTCAGAAAAAGTGTCTTCAGCAGCTCAAAATACTGAAGTTTTTGTAGGGATTTATTTTAAAATTGCCTCAGGCTAGCACAGGACTAGAAGAATCACTGCTTGCTGTTCCAAATAACAGTATTAAATCACAGGTATTGTAAGTTGTAAAATATTACTTAATGAGAGGTATTGAATACCTTAAACTTGTTTATCTAGAAAAATTAGACAGTTATTATGACAATTTTTGAATTGAAGGTTCATTGAAGGTATTTAAGAAAACTATCATCAATAAAACAATTCAGAGGCAAAGTAGAAAGCTCTTTATTTGGGAACTGATCACAAAATGTAGAAAAGGAAAAATGTAACATGAGAGTAGTATTTTAGGCAAAAATGCTAGTTACATTAATTATTAAATAACGTATGTATAAACTCGTGGAGATGCAGTTCATATAATGCAGTTTTGGTGCCTACATTGGGATGAGAGAAATAGCACTATGGAAGTTCTTGTTTCTGAGGACTCCAACGGGAGCCTCAGGTGGCCAGCTGTGCACAGATGTCTCTGACTGATAGATAACCCCCTCCTTTTATTGTGTTGGAAAACTGGAGAAAGGGACACACCAAACATGGCAATTCAGGTGGGCAGACCTCTGAGAATAATGGTTTCCAGGACTAGTAGATTAATAAAGTTATCTGAGTTTACTTAGAATACCAAAAAACTTTTCCAAGTGTTCAGACTTTTAATTTCTTGGCAAAGTTACAGGAAAAAGAAACAGTTGCATGCATTTCAAAAAACGAAAGGGCAGAATGTAGTTTGGAGTACTAAGTCTTGCATTCCCTCTGGCTTGCTGGAGCTCACTTTTGCCATTGAGTACTTCCCTGTCTGCCACGCAAAACCCTCCATCCCACTGTATTGTTCATGATGTTAATTTATTCCTCTTTATTTATTGCTGTGCTATGTCATGTTTCCTAGTTTCAGTTAAAATTCATGCTTAAAAGGAAAAGTAATTGATTACCCTTTAGGGTGGAGGAGAGCCACAGCATCTGCTGTGGTCTGCAGAATGCTGCAGTAGTTATTAATGAGATGCCCTGACAAGGCCTGTCAGCGTTGTTTTTTATTTTTAACTCACAAGTCTTATGGTTTGGAGCCCTTCACCAGAAATTGATGTGTCTTGGCTGCTGGAGGGTTACAGTGGAAACTCTTCTGGGTTCTTCCATGGCCAGTATGCACGCCTGTGTGTGGTGTGGGAGGGCAGGGGCGGCCCATGGGGCTTTCTGGCTAAGAAAAGGGAAAGCCTATCCCATGAGAGATCTTGACAATCCAGGATTAGCTTTTTCTTCTGACCAAGAACAGAAAATCAGAATGCAAAGAACTTCATATAATTAAAAACTTGGAGAAACTTTGAATTGGAAATTATAGCACTTTTGTTGCAACATTTCCATGGAAAATTGGAAAGAGGAAAGATCTGCTGGAAAACATAGAGGAACAATGACAAAAAAAACAAACCTAAGGATGCCTAAATTCACACCAGTATTTTCATGACAGGAAAATATTTGCTTGCAAAACTTTGAACATTCCATTTCTTTTTTTTTCCTTTCCCAAAGTACCAGACAGTTTTTATTTACAACTCCAAACTATTTCAAACAAGTAATTTAAACAACGTGTAAATTATGTAGAAACTTTGTCTAATATTTTCAATCTCATACTGTTGCAATGAGAGGTCATTATAGGTTTGATGCTTCATGATTTATTAGTGGGTTATCCATAATTCTATTTTCTTGGTTAAAAGGTTTCCCATTAAATTTTGTGGTAGGGGAAAATATGCTTGTGTGTCATCAGCTCTTTTGCAAAATATGTCCAATGCAATCTAGTCAGGATGATGATAATGATCCTAAATAAATAAGTTTACAAATAAGGTTACAAATAAGCTACTTATGAACTATGAATTTAAAAAGAAGGTTATTTATAAGGTGACTCTAGAAGCAGGAATTAAGAAATAGTTCTCTAAAATTCTTAATTTAAAAAAATAATTTTATATTAAAGGCAAAACTCATCTAAAAGGTATATGGAGTATTTAGAATGAAATTATTTTTCCTATCCTGTTTCCAAGATTAGCTTTTGGAAACAAGTACTTGAAAGTTATTACCTTAGGAATTCTTCTCATGTTTTCGTCTACTTAAATAACAATACCATCGTAAACAAACACATGCAACATCTATATAAAAATATTCTCCATTTATTAATGAGATAGATTACTAGATTTCTGGTGTACTATGTAACCAATGCAACACTTGTAAGCTGTTACAGACAAATAGGTTATTTAGAAAAAAACAAGGTCATAGAGCAGTCAAAAGAAAATTGGCATGACACTGTTGCTTGGCTACTTGCATGATACTATTCTATTTGTGTTTATACCCTTTTACAAGGGTTACAACCAACCATTTGGAAAGAGTCACTGCTCTTATTTCATTTCATTTCAGCCAACATGTTGAAAATCATATGGTTTCATGAAAACCTTACATGAGAAAGGAAAAGACAGGGCACTCTCATCTGCACAGCTTGCCAGTGAGTTTTGCATAAGCAGCTCCTCTGAGCTCAGGGCTGCCAAGCAGTGCCCTGATGCCGGTGAAACCTGGGATCCCAGTGCTGACATGCCCGATTTATGTAACCACAGCATACAAAATGATTATTCACTAGTAAATTACTGCTTTTAATCTGCGTGTAATCCTTTCCCTCCTATGTCAGATAGACACAGACTAATCCTTCTGCTCCCTTACAAGCATTGCAAGCCTTCCAGGGGTGGTTTGGGCTTTTTTTTGGTGGGGAGTGTTGGTGGTGAAAGTTAATAGAAAATGAGGTTATTAGCTCAAAAATGGTAACAAAACCATCTTTTTTTAGAAGATGCATCATCTGGTAGGGAAACCACATAAATGTATGTGCTCGCAGTCTCATTCATGAACTAGGTATGTGAGAAGGGACTTGGCTAAGCTTATGAGAATCCTATTACATAAATAGATTTAGTTAAAACTCTCAATTTATCTGAGGACAGGAGGATGAAACAGTTGAATATTTTGAACTTTAAGGGATATTTAAAGCTCTGTATAGGTGTCGGCATATTCTTTCACGTAGAAGAATAAGCTAAAGCGTCTTCTAATAAAAAAAAGTTCCAAAAAAAACCAAAAAAGAAACTGCACAAAACATTACTAGGGATATTTAAATTGTCAGCTGTTAATATATTCTGGTATGATCATGTCTTAAAATATTTTAACATCTGTTGAACACTTCAGAGAATCATTAAACTAAGGTATTTGTTTGCTTGTTTCTTAACAACCTTAAAATAACCATGTTCCAAATAAATTTTGCTAGGCATATAAAGTTTGGGGTATTTGCATCAAAATGTAAATGCATAGGGCCAGAATTGTAAATGTATTTAGGAACCTTAATGGTTCAGATGGATAGCAAGTGGGATTTTCAAGGCCTTACTGCTTTTGAAGACAATGCTTGGAAGTGGGAGCAGTATGTTGAGCAGGAGAAAGGCAAGGTCACGCTGCCTTCACCACCATCTCCTGAGAGTCCCTCCTGTCCGTATCCCATGGTTGAGAAAGACAGGCATGTCAGACTCTCTGCAAAGAAAGTTATTTTAATACTTAGTCTACTTTTACTTAATTCTGGTTTACACCAAAGTTAACTCTTAAAGTCATATGACCTTGACTAGTAAAGGACACAATTTTGGTAAGAAGTTAGGAATAATCATTCTTCTGTTTATATTGTGGTTTAGTATGTCAGTGAGTACAGTGAGACTGATTTTTTTCTCTCTGTTCAAAACCCCTCAATAACTGGAATAAGTTGTTGCATTTGAGGATCTGACAATAAACTTTCAATATTCACAGCTGCAGGGTTTGCCTGCAGAGACGGGTTAGTAATTGCTTTCCTGCATGTTGGTAGACAGCATGGCTGGGTCCAACCATGGGACTCCCAGCTGGGGCCTGCAGGTGAACAGCCGTCTGTCTGTAAGGATGCATGAGGAAATTTGGCTGCCAGGCAGTGACAAGTGGCTCCATTAAACAGGGAACACACCCACTTGTAGTGCAGAGCTGCCTTTTAGTTGCCTTGAAGAGTGTCACAGAAGCTGGGACCTACTTAAATGATCCTCTTAATTCAACAGTTTTGAGTTCAGTTTAATAGTACACTTGATTGAATGTAACTGTAGGCTCTCTGCAAAAGCAAGCATCCCACTGTGTCTTTGCTGTTCCCTTGTGTTAGCTATAATAATCACACAACTGCACAACCAGTCAGATGCTGTCAGAAGCAGGGGAAAAATAATCTACTCAAAAAACACCCCATTAGTCTTCTGTGGCATCAGTGAGCTGATCTGATTCACCGTGTAGTTTCATGACCTGTCACAAATGAAGTATCCCAAAGTAAGAGCTGAGAAAAGGAAAGCAAACTGCAGTTTCACTGACACCCTTGGTTATATTGTTCACTCACTTAGATTCACTTACTGTCATCCTTAAAGAACCACACCAAGGTCAGTAGCCCTGCTGTTAAGTTGCCGTAGAGTCACATACCACAAGGTCTTGTGTTTCCTTCAGTCCTGAAGCCACCAGTATGCTAATGCCACCCTATGAGTCTCCTTCTGTTTAGTGGCAAGTACTTTTGTATAAAATAGTTAAGTAAAACAAAATGAAGTGCTTTAGGAATGGGGCAAGTCTTTAAAGATACTGGTAATGACAGATTGTATTTTTTTCCCCTATGCAGTTGTTATGGAAACGGGCCCTTAAAGATCGGTTCAAATATGTGCGGAGACCCATTGAAGATGATGAGCAAGTCCTGAGGAACAAATGCAAGTTTGGCCACAGGCGAGGACAGAGCAGGAAATCTTCATTTGCTGAAAACAAACCTGATGACATCCAGATGCAGGTAGAGGTAAGATCTTTGGTGCTTAACTGAGTCCTCTGTCTTTCAGCTCCTCTGTTGATGGTAAGGCCACCAGCAAGTAAAGAGAATGAAGTGATTTCATCCTGTGAAGCTGAATGCCTTGCACATTTGTTGTGATTTAGAGTTGATGCCAGTTGGACATAAAATTCTGTATTTTTTGAAAAAATGCAATATTCCCAGTCTGCTTTAGGTTATACATCTCCAGTGAGAGTGAGAACCAATAGAGGCTTATGTCTAAGAGCTGAAACCTCTGTACAAATTAGAAAGCAAAGTGGTATTTGAGCTGGTAGCAAATGGCCATATCTTATGGTCACATTGCATGTTATTATAAAAGCTGTGCTGATGTGTGATATACATGGGGATGTTTATTCATATATGCATGCAGTTGCTGTATATCCCTTCAATTAGAGAATTCATAGAGCTATCACTGTCCAGTAAATGTCTGAAGCACACTAATTAATTTATACATTTTCATAAATACATTAAGGTTTCCACTATGCTTTACCAATGCTTCTCATACTTTCTTGTGCTGCAATTAAAATGTGGTAAAATTTAAACAATTGTAAGAATGTGATAAAGAAGATACGTAAGCAGATAGTTGATGTTAGTTTACAAATGTCATGTAGTTTTCTACCCAAAATGCAGACATATATTATTTTGGGGGTTTTTCAGAAGTTGCAGTAATTTCTGTTTATCCCCTTTTGATAATGTGTTCAGAAATAAACATTTTCCTCTTTTTTTTGCCTGCTGTAGTTGAAAGGTTTGCAGAATGTGTGAAGTAAGGAGCCTATATGTTGAGTGCAATAACAACAAATAGTCTTGCATGTAGTAAAGGTGAAATGACAGGCTCCTGGTTTTGTGCATGCATTAAGAGTTAGTTGTCCTTTGTTCACTGATGCTTGGAAAGGGCAAATGCAGCTCTCTTTTGTCACATCAGGTAGCTGGGAAGGGCTTTGCAGTGATCCTTGTAGGGACTGCATGCTCAACTTTATTTGTCTATAGAGAAGGTGTCACTGCACTGCACTGTGTGTCTACAAACAAGGAATCACCACTCTTTTTACCTGCATTGCCCAAGTTCATCACTGGTCATCCCTTGTCTGATTAGAAATTGAAGAAGGAAGTATGTTCCACCTTCTCTAAAGTGTTGTCAACTAACCCTAATGTTGTAAGCAAATAAGAGTTAAAATGGAAGGAGGTGAGAGGATGCTGAGTATCCCTAAACAACTTTCCCTTTCTTTCCCTCATTTTTCCTGTATCCTCAACATAGACAAAAAGAAAATATAAATATAAATGCAACAATTAACAGTTATGGAGCCTATTAAGGCTTAAGAATTAATCCCACATAATTGAGGGAATCATAACTCTTAGTTTTAAATGTTTCTGCATTGAAAGCAGGTATGCCTGGCTCTGAGTTCCTAAATTATGTCACTACAAATGTGCACAGCTGAACAAGATGTTTGACTAATCTTCATGTAAACAAATGCAGCATGGGTTTTTTTCATTCTGTATATTTAGGAGCACACATAAAGGGACCTTTCTGCCAATCCTTGGCACTAACTACTTTGTGATAAATTTAAACTGCTAAACAAAGAGTCTTACCCTCAAAGAATAAATATTTGGTCTAGAAGCCAATACCACAGGCAAAACTAAATGATATTCAAATTATCATGAGCCAGATCCCCATGCCTTCATTCCTCTTCCAAGTCTGGAAGAACAGATCAGCCTTGTGTGGACTAAAAGACAGCACATCAGAATTATTTACGAAGAAAGGATGAGAAATGAATTCCAGGTTAAGGAATTGGAGAATTTGGAGAATAATCAGTGAAGGATCCCTAGTCTCTTTTTGTCACCACACTCTCCCTTAGATAGGAAGAGTAGGACATTCAGGGCGATAAAGGTCAAAGCCAACTGGCAAGCTGTGCAGATGAAAGAGCACATCTGTTTCCACCAGATCATCTACTTACCAGCCACATGGCTGACTTCTATATTGAGCTTTGGTTTCTCAACTAACACAAGATGCAATTCTGTCAAATGTGCATTGTGTTAGTATAATCTTGGAATGTTAATGGTACAAAATTGATAAAAATATTATTTACTGATAGAAAATACCTCACTGGTATACCTGGCATTTGTTTTTATATAAGAAGAGTAATAAAGCTATTACTACTAATAAAATCCTTAACTATTCTTTCTATTCAATCATGTGAAAAAACAGTTTCTTGTCAGGACAAGCTTCCTATGTTGTTCTGGGATGTGCTCAGAGCCACAGATGATGTCTGCCCCCTGATCTGTCCAAGTCCCATTACTGCCAGCAGTCATTCCTCCTCCAAACACAGCACAAGTGTTACTTGGTCACCCATGCAGAGCATTGCTTCCAAATGCAGCATGTGGCTTTCTCCTCCAGCTTCTTTGAAACATCTGCTGACGTGTTCCTCCAGTACGGAACATTATATCCAAGCAAGATTGAAGAGTATACTCATTCTAGAGTGGCTAGCATCACAGGAAAGGTCTTGAGCAAGTGCAGTGTTCAGAGCTGTAAAATGATGGGAAGTAAGCACATAAACCCATGCTGGAGGTGTCTGTCACTAAAGGAGCTTTTGCTTAAAATTATGCTCCCTACAATAGTCATCAGATTGAGCCACCATTGGAAAGAAGCTTGGAGTGTGCCTGACATAGAAATGAATATGAGCCTCCATGTCTGAGGGATATTCAGAACGAGATCGGGAAAGCCTCCATAATTAACAGATTTTCTGGCTATGGAGTGAGAATCCTCCTCAGTGGTTTCCCACAGTCATGCAAATATCCTGGAGCTGCAGTAATGCAAGGGAAAGTGCTTTGTAATGATAATGACCTTCATCGGCTGCAAATGGAAGGTACTTCCCATGAGAGGAGTGATCACACCGTGAAAATAAATAAGAAAGGCAAGCCAGTGTCCCTCTGCAGCCAGGGTGGGATTACTGCTAAGGCAGCCATTCAGTGGCTTTTTCTGACTGAGCTCTTTATTCTTTTTTTTTTTTAGCATCAAAATGGCACCATAAAACCCTTCCTCTGCCGTAAGGAATTCTTGGGTTTACAGTCCTTCTGGCTATGAGAGAAACCACCTCCTGCCAGTTGTAGCAGTAAGGGCCCTAGACTTGGGATAGCCAGAAAGAACAGGCAGATAGGACACTTTTGGTGAGCGTCTTTGGCCGGAGAGTTACCAAAAGGCAAAAGGTGATAGAAAGGGAAGTAAGGTTAGAGCTGGTGATTGGCTTTGATATGATGAAAGCACATGGTTCAAACACTAGCTTAGTCATCACAGGGGTGGTGATCAAAGAGCAAATTGTTCTTTCAGAACTCCAAGTTCTGAAAGCTTGTCAGTCTTGAACAGTGCTCTCCATGGAAAATGTGACTTCACAATCAATTCAGGCAGCTGAAGACAGACATAAAATTCCCACAGATTCCATGCATGGCTCCCACCTGCCAGTCTAGAAGGGCACGGGTCTCATGTAGGTCCTGTGTCATATTCTGTAACTTCCAGAGTTTTCTGGGATGATTATGACATCTCAAATGCCACTAAATCTGTGCAAATGAATCAAGCTTCTTCAATCCACCCCAGCTGTTGTATGATAAAACTTGTCAGCAAAGGGACTGTCCAAGGATATCTTAAGTTACGTGAATTTTAAGGGAATATAACAGGCTAGAAGACTGTTAGTAGTTCATGATCTTAAACAGAAGTGGAGAGAGAGAGGGTACAAGCCCTTTTCTAATGGCTCCAATTTCCTACAGTCTATGATAGCTTGTTGGTGAAGTCATCAGGGCTTCTCTGAAGCTGTCACACAAGTTAAATGTGAAAAGGAGAAATAGGCTCTGACAAGACAGGATAGCAGTAGATATTTGCAGATAACTGGGCATATTTGCCACACCCAGCAGAGCAAATAATGAAAATAATGAAAATAATTTATAAAGGGGACACCGGCAGGCCATCTCCTTTCTGTGTCTATGGCATAGGCATAAGAAATGTTTTGGTGAGCACTTGGAGTGGGAGAAGTGGAAGGATTCTGCAGAAACTTAAACTCGGGAAGTTGAGCATTCGTGATATTATTCCTCTTCAGGGAAGATAAGCAGGAGTGTTCAAAGAGGTGAATGTGCAAATCCTTTCACAAGAGGACCAGATGAAAATCAAAGACCTCTGCCCCAACAGGCATCCAGGTAGAAGCTGAGCACCATATGTGCTTTCTTTGGTGTTATCATGCAGCACAAGAGCGGTGAGGCTTGTGAGAACGTTCCTGCTGTAAAGTTGAGGTTTCCACCTAACTAATGAGGCTCAGAGAGTGAGCTCATCAGAGAGAATGGATGGGCCTCCTGGCTTTAAATAGGAGGAAGGTTGTTGAAAAGGTGTGTGATGGGGTTCCTGAGTTTGGCCAAAATTCATATTAAGATCACCTTGGGTGCCCAGAGACAGATTTAATGGCAAGGCGTGGAAGGCTTAACCTGTACAAAGTACCTGGTTCAGGGCAGATGTAGAAGATGATGAATGTCTGCACAGCCAGAATGTGAGTGTGCATATACAAATGATCATTCAATGGCTTACTGTTTTGATCTGATTTTTTCCACTAAAGCTTTAATGTGCATATATAGCGTGTAGTGTTGCTTAGCTAATATTTTAAAATGTTTTTAGAGTCAAAGCAATAGCTTTAAACACAAATTCCTGGTGTACATCTTATGCTTCACCTTCTTATTTATGTCGAAACATCAGCATCTCCCTTGTTCTGTGAGTTAATACAAAGTGTAAAATATGGGTTGTCCCTTGGTAGAGGAAAACAGATTTCATCTATTTTGCTTATGCTGCGTGTTTGGCAGCTTACAAATCAGAAAGCAGTTGTGGTCAGAAATAAACTGATTTATGTGGCTTTGAAAGTTTGCAGTTAGCATTGGCATGCAAGTCTAGCTCCTAGTGTCTGTCTGGCTCAACAGGCTGACTATGCGTAATTAAAGCAGAGCCTGCT